AAGTGATTAAATAAATAATTAAATAAAGAAATTAAATATTAAATAAATAATATACATAACCGATTAAGATAATTAATTAATGAAATATCTAAATAAGAAATTAAATTAAATATTAATTTTTATTTAATTAAGTGATTAAATAAATAATTAAACAAAGTAATTAAACAATAAATAAATAACATACATAACTAATTAAGACAATTAATTAAAGAAATATTTAAATAAGACATTAAAATAAATATTATTATTTTTATTTAAATAAGTGATAATTTGAATAAAGTAATTAAATATTAAATAAATAATATACATAACCAATTAAGATAATTAATAGAGAAATATTTAAAAGAGAAACCAAATTAAATATTAATTTTTTATTTGAATAAGTGTTTAAAATAAATAATTAAATAATTTATTAAATATACATAATCAATTAAGATAATAAATTAATAAAATATTTAAATGAGAAATCAAATTAAATATTAATTTTTTATTTAAGCAAGTGATTAAATAAATAATTAAATAAAGAAATTAAATATTAAATAAATAATATACATAATCGATTAAGATAATTAATTAATGAAATATTTAAACAAGAAAGTAAATTTAATATTAATTTTTTTAATTTGAGTAATTGTTTAAAATAAATAATTAAATATAAAGTGAAAAGTGTTTGATTTTTTAATTTGTAAGTTAAGGGTATTTTTGTCTTTTCAAACAAAATTCTATTTTTGTAATTATATAAACTACTTAAGGGTATTTTTGTCTTTTACTCAATAATAGGCTATTTTGGTGATAGGCAAATTTTTTTTGGTTAAAGTGAAAAATTGGCCCTTTGACTTGGCCAAACTAAAAATTACCCCCTTAAAAATATAAGCTGGCAAAATTATGATAAGCATAAGTAAATTATATATATCCACCATTCAAAAATTAAGAAAATATTAGTATTATTTTAAAAAACTATGACAACCGATCATTCTAAACACTTGATACTTTTGGCCAAAATAGACAATAAAAAATACATCACCACCCAACATATTCCATAGTGGGTGAGGAATCCCAACCAATGTGTAAAAACCGAACAAAAATTTTGAGGGTCTAAAAATTGGTTTTATTTCACGTTAATATTTGGCTAATCTTTAATAATATACATATAGAGTTTGTTTGAGCCCCATTGTGTAGAATGCATTTTGAAATAATAGATTGATAGAGACTATGTTATTAAAAAATCATGAAAAGTTTTGAATTTGCATATAATATTATTTTATTGAAAAATGTGTAATTGAAAAGAAACAAGAAAAAAAATGTATTTTGAAAATAATGGGAATCAAGCAATGACATAATCAGGTTAATTTATAAATAAGCCCTGTTTGTTACCTATTTCTTCTTCATTAAAATGAAAAATCTGACCGTTATCTATCACATCGAGCTATCATATTTGAATTTCTATCTATTGTGTGTGGTCCATAACGGCTATATTTTTCATTCTCATTCTTCCATGAATGAGAAACAAACGGAGTCTAAATAGTTTTAAAATCTTTTTATTGACAAGATTAAATATAGAGCAAGTTACTTATTTAAAAATAACATCTATTTCATGGTCAAAATAAATAAAATTTCTTCCTTACAAGTATGAATAAGTTATATATGAAGACATTAATAGAAATAAAGAAATTAATTATTTTTAAGCTTAGCAAAACATGTATTCTCTCCATTAACAAGTATTTATTTTTAGCTCTAAATACAATTTATTGTTATAAAGTTTTACTTATATAGTTATATATAAAACATGTAACAAATAAAATATCTAATTTGATAATAAGCAATCCACTTACATGAATGTCATGATGATTATTATTATTTTTTAATTGTGGAATTTTTAACTAAATTTAGACAATCTGGCATTGGGCTGTGACTTAGGAAGCTGGGCTAGCATACATTTTTGGGCCAAATTTAACCTAATATTCTTTTTCCCTTTTTCAACAAATAATTAACCATAGAGGAAATTACAGGGAAATCAGGATTTAACTTCATTATTCCACAACTCAAGTTATAATTATCTTATTTATTAAAAATTAGATTATGTTACACTCCCTCCACTTTCTCTTATCTCTCTACCATTTCTTTCTACACGTTATCTCTTCCATTTCTCTTCACAGATGGAACTCAGGCTACACCCATGTCTCCATCGATGATGATTGTGCTGACAAGCTATCTAGGTATGCCTCCGATCGTCACCAATGAACATTTTATGCACTAGAACTTCATATATATCTCCACAGGTAGCTATAGATCTAGAAGTTGCTAGTGGTGACACTCCATTTTATGATAGTCTGACGACTCGTCAACTCAATGAATTTAAATAATATTTTTATGCATATGGACATGGAACTGCATTTTGTGGGCAAGTTTTATAGGCAAAGTAGGGGGTTCGAGGCGATTGTTAATGGTTTTAGATGAGGTGTAGATGGTGGCGATGTGATGTTCCGGGGTATATGAGTGGTTGGGCTGTAGTGTGGTGGAAGTGTTGTAGTTATGCTGGTTTTGGATTTGATGTGTATATTATCGTGACATTGACCTATTTAATTAATAAAACGGTCACAAAATATTATCAAGTGGTCACATTTGTGACCAATTGAGTGACTACCTAATTTTTAAAAGAATTTCACAAATTTTTTTTTTAAACTATTTATTTCAAAAACTTATATGTATAGGTTAAATTACTTATGAGTAAATCTTTAAGCTCAGCCAAATGTAGCAACAATTAGCTACTTCTACATTGGGTTAATTATTTGAATAGTCATTGAACAATATCAAGCATCCATACTTAATAATCAAATTTAAAAATACATCTCAATGGTAACTAAACTATAAGCCGAAGTTACTCATCCATCTCTCAAGTGGGAAAAATTGTGAAACCCAAATCTAAAAAGTTTTATTTTTCTTCAACATATGGGCTTTGTATCTTCAATTTCCTCCTTTTCCCTTCATTTTCTTCGACTTCTTCTTTTACAGAAGTCGATTTAAAAGAAAGAAGAAAATTTTCACTGATCTATGCATTGTATTACCCATTCATCACTCATGCCAATGCCGTTCTTGAACTTAACTAATTTTTTCACTTTGAGTGATGGAAGCGTAACACATTACATAGTTCAGTGACCATGAAAATACATTTTTAATTAATTATTAAACCTTGTTTGACACCCATTAAAGAGTTTTTTTATTTTATTTATTTATTTATTATTATTATTTTTTTTTTTTTTAAGAAAATGAGTTTTTGAATAATGAACTTTTAAAGAATGTGCAGTTAAAAAATAGAAAAAAGTTTGATCTACGTGAAATATATTTTATTGTGTGAATGTGTGGTTATAACGTAGAAATACATTTTGATTTATATGAAATATTATATTTAATTACGTGAATGTATAGTTGAAAATATGTTTGAAAAAAAAAAATTGATTTAATGAATATCAAATAGGGGCTAAATAATAATATTTGATATAATTGAGTGACCATTGAAATAATTAACCCCCCTCACGTTTGTTTTCGAAAGGAAAATATAAAATCATGATCGGGAAGACCAAACACAAAAAGGAGAAAAATGGCAGAGAAATTGGCTCCAGAGCAACGCCACATCTTCACCCACAATGGTATTAGCCTTCTCTTTTCTAATCTATCTGAATTTAGAATAATAAGAACGTGATTATCCAGTGATAGCGCTGAATTTTTCAGGCCAGAAGGTGTTCGAGTGGGATCAAACGTTGGAAGAGGTGAATATGTACATAACCCTTCCACCAAATGTTCCTAAGAAACTGTTTCACTGTAAGATTGATTCCAATCATGTCCATGTTGGGATTAAAGGAAACCCTCCTTATCTTGATGTCAGTTTTTCTAAATCTATTTTTCTCTCTGAATTTCTTTTGGGCTTTTGTAATTGTAGTTTAGCACTTTGTTAATTGTATTTTTTTTCTGTTACGCGATGTTCACAGCACGATCTTACCTGTCCAGTGAAGACAGATTGTTCATTTTGGACACTAGGTACTTTCTTATGTTTAAATAGTTTTCTGCAAGAAAATTATTCCTTTTTTAATTTGTTGCGAAAGTTTACGAGATTACTATTCTTGGCTACTTTTCTAAAGATTCTGATTTTACAATTTGGGTGAACCACCAAAAGTGTGAAAGTTTTTGGCATTGATAAACCTAAAATTTTTGGTTTTGGTCGAAGTCTAAAATGCTTGTGAATAAGAGTTCTATTAGATTACTCATCACTCATCAAAGATGAAAATGAGTTAAATTTTGGGAATTTAATGTAAGTTTGGTTTCAAACATGTGAATTTCCAACACGTGCACACAACCGGATGATAGTTTGTTAACGGATGTTTGAAATATATCAACTTAAGATTCAGATTACTGAACAGGCAGATGATAATAGCCAATTTATAATTTCTAAAGCATGTAAACTATTAATACTAACTTGGGATATATGTTGCAGAGGATGATGTAATGCATATAACTTTGCAGAAGAGGGACAAAGGTCAGACGTGGTCTTCTCCTATTGTGGGTCAAGGCCAGTTGGATCCTTACACAACAGATCTTGAACAAAGGCGTCTCATGCTTCAACGATTTCAAGAGGAGGTACCCTATCTTATTGTTCTTTAGCCAAATTAAACTTAAACATTTATTTTTTGCTATACCTCTTCTTTCTTTCTTGTGACATAAGTGATTTCAATGTATGCATATCCAATTTATGTGAAATACTGATATGTCTGGAAATCCACGTTTCACTGAGTGTATATCTAGATAGATTCTGAGTGGACAATTTGGTCCCCGATCTGGGTCTGATGGGAAAGTTGAAACAAGGATCCTATCTGAAGCAATCCCTGGGGTTTTCTCTTATCTGAACTGGTCATGCAAGAAAATAAAATATCACATTTAGCTGTTTGGGAAGATCCTATAGATTGTATCGTATAGTTGTACTAATTTAATTATTAATGGCTCAAGTTATTATTTGTTTATACTTTTTTTAATGTTCTATAATATTCCTCTCTATTGGGGTTAAGATTTTTTCACATTCTTCTTCTGGTTGACCTTGTATATTTTGCTGTCATTTTTTATGCTTTTCTTTTTTGGAGTTCTGTTTAGAAATGTATATTAGAATTTTTAATTTTGGGATCTGTTCCGTGCCTTGATGTAATCTACTTGGGATATTGATATTAGGTTTGAAGTGATTTGATAATTGATAAAAGAGAAAATCATGCAGAAAGAAGGCATGCATATCCGACAAATTCTAGACGTTGTAAGAGGTGAAAAACTTTATATTATCGTGAAGAAGTGTTCTTTTATGAGCAAGAAGTAGTATTTGGGGTTTAATTGTTTCAGTTGTGGGATTAAAGAGAAATCATGAGACCGATCAATAGTCATGGAGTGTATAACTGAAGTCTATTAGCAATGTTCGTAGCTTCTTCCAAATAGCTTCTCTCTATCAGAGGTTTTTATTCAAATATGTGTGCAATAATGAGCCCTGTACTGAATGCCTGAAATGGGAAACAGTTATCTGGACATAAGCATAATGGACCTTTACCCAACCAGTTAAAGTGATGCCAAATTTGAACAAATCTCTTTGTTGTGGAGTACACGTCCCATACGGGGAAGCGGGTGTGGAGCCTCATGGCTACCCAAAGAATATTTATGCCCAAATTCAGTCTATATAATTTAGCCCACCTAAAAAATCAAATCTAGCCATCGATAGTTAATCCAAAAGCAGACCTAAAAAGAGAATAAATTACCCAAATTCAGCCAATAAAACAAATAGCCAACCTGCAGAATCAATTTCGGCCATAGATAAGTAGTCCAGAAGCATGAATTGTGTTTTTGCCGAAGTTTTTGCAATGGCTTGTGAAGATCATCGTCGAAATAATTGAAGATCCAGATATTCACCTTTCCTTCCTTTATTATGTTTTTGTTGTTTGGTAATAAGGAAAAAGTTTTGTGAGTATATGCCATATAGCAAATGTATGTGAGATTTTCTGTATTTAAAATAGAATTTCTTTTATGTTAAACTCTCCACTCTTCAGCATGAAGAAAATAAAAGAAAGTGGGAATGTTATAATTATTAGCCTAATTCTTATTAGAATTTTTCTTGTTTAATTGATGCTTAATACTAGCCTAAGTCATAGTTGTAAGCCATGGCGTTGAAGAGATAATTCGGAAGAGAGGACTCTAGGAAGTAATAGAGAATGTTTCAAAATTTTATGGGAGGCCATGAATACATTTAATTTGTTCAAGTTAATTATTTGACTAAAAACTCTAAATGTAGAATTGGTGGAACTGACATTTGGAATAATATATAGAAGAAAGAGGTAGAATAAAATAATTTATACTAAAATTGGACAAAATACTTAAAATGAATTCAACTATCTTTGTTATTGGTGAAACTTGTAGTAAACAGCAATGTAATATTTATCATAATCATCAGTATATGCTTTTCATGTTGTAACAATAGGATTTCATGTTCGGGTGCTTGCAATGACTCCAACGATTTTGTATAGCGTCTTAAGTTATAGATTTTTTTAATCTTGACCATATGAATTCTAATATTTAACGAGCTATGCAATAGACAACTTGTGAAAAATCAAATGAACATCATGATTTGCCCCTTGCATTTTACATTCATCTAATATTAGAACCTTTATGTCGTCAAGACCAAAAATTTATGACTAAAGGCTCTATACAAAATTGTTTGAGTCATTATAAGCACCTGGACTCAAAATTCTACTAATACCACATGAAAAACTTATATTGATGATTATGGTAAAAATTGCATTTATGGATTAACAATTCTAACCATTTACTCTTGGAAGCATCAAAGATTTGGTTGAAGTCACCAAAACAATCCTTATGGAAGAGAGAGATAGGATACTAGAATTGGACATAAATAACTCAACTAAGTAAATTTAGAGAGAATAAATTTTAGATTGCAAAACAAAAGAGCTTACAATAATTGTAAATTGAGTGGAAAAAAGTGAAGTAGGGGGTTGTATAGGGGAAAAAAAAACTGGCCATCGAAAATTGGTCCACGACTCGATACAATCTGACTCGTTACAAAAATGCAAGCTGGGATCTGTCCAGCCCATGACGTCTCAATATGAGCCCACAAGGCTCAGCCACCTATCGCCACCACCTATCGCCACCGCTTTCCCTCACCACTACCCTGCCCCTTCCCCAATATCCAGAGAAACACTCCCTTCTGTGATGTCCACTACCCACTCCCTTCTTATTGTGAGACCAGACATAGAAATTAGAAAACAAGTGAAGTTCTTTAACAGAAAAAGTAGAACGACGAAAGAAAAATGTATTATATCTTGAAATAACTTCGTGTAGCATGTGAGACCAGCAAGATGCTTAGTTTACAGCTACTTCATGTTCCATACTGTTGGGAGTAATTGCAGAGTCCTTTAAATATCTACATATGCAATCTTCATCTTGTGTTTGATTTGATTTTGAGGTGGTGAGAATGGTGACTAATGAGAGGATTCTGTTTGGGTGGTGGTGGCTGATGGTTTAACATAGGGAGTTGGGTTGTGGTGGCTGTGGCAATGGCGCCTACTTGCAGAGTTTAGGCGAGGGGCAGGGATGACAAGGAAATGGTAATTTCTATTATTTTTTAGGGATAAAGAGGTGGGAGATGCGCTAAGGAAAAACTGTAGTAATTAAGGCCCTGTTTGATAGCAACAATTTTCCATTGAACTAGGAAATGTAATTTCATTTTCCATCTTTTTGGCTGTCTGATAGCTTTTTTTCTATGGAATTCGTTTTCTTGGTTTTGTTGGAAAGGGGCAATTTTCTTGGTTTTCCTTGAAAACCAAGAGTACCAAAAAATACTTTTATTTCAACATTTTTCACGTGGAAAATTATACCAATCAAATACAATAATTGACAATTCCCAGTAAAACAATTTCTAGGCAATTCATTCTCTGAAATTCGTTTTCTTTCCACCCAAATTTTATCTTTGCAATCAAATGGACCATAAGTTCTATAATTTTTTGTTCCCAAGATTTACCTTAGATAAACCAAACAGAGAATAATAATTCTATGCCAAGAACTTTTTATTCCTCAGCTGCATATTGTGATTTTATTAGTGTTTCATTTAGTTAAGTAGATTACTTGATTTTGTCATAATACAAAATGATTATGTACAAATATCATTATGTTAGCTCATCAAATATCAACACATATCATATGCCAAATATCATTCTGCATCTTATTTTTTTCAAATTTCATCAAGATGTTCCTGATTATATTGTATTTGCCTTCTCGGTATGTAACTAAGTTATGCCTGTTTGATGCACATCATACTTAAGTTTACAATGTCGTTCTTTATACATAAATTTGTGCTTAATGTGATGGAGCATTTGTTTTTTTTAAGATATATAGTAACATAAATTAGCCAATGAAACCTACTTGATTGTATGCTAAATTTTCTAAAAAAATACACTATGTTTGATAACAATGCCTCTGTTTGATGGGAATTAAAATCAGATTTTAATATAAATTAATTTAATGTATGGTTGAAAGTTGTGGGTCTCATAATATATTGTTAAATTAATTGTTAACTTTGACTTTCATGAAAATTTAAATTTTACTCCCCACCAAACAGAACTACTTTTATACATATGCTTTTAATAGCAAGGGGTATTAGCCCCTGTGGTTATTATAAGAGTAAGGTTAGTTCTTGTTTCTTAGATGATGAGAATTCGACTCTACGAGAAATCGAGAAGTAAATAACCACTCAAGCCTTTCTGGTACACATTACTGGACATGATTGAACAAAACAATTGGTAAAATTTTAACTTATTTTTCTTTCTTAATATTGTCCAGTACCGTATAATCCATTTATCATAGTAGTCACCATTATACCTATGCTTGCTTATCATTGGCGTTCTATATCTCGAGCATTTCATACAATACATTGCTTGATTTGCTTCTATAATGCAAAGTTTCTCGATGCAGAATCCAGGCTTCGACTTCTCACAGGCACAGTTCTCAGGCAGTTGCCCTGATCCAAGGACCTTCATGGGTGGGATCCATTCAACCTGAGAGTTCTTAGTCTTCAAAATAAACTGTGCTGATCACAGAACTGGGTTTATTTACATAATCAAAGGTGTAATATGTAATTGTTGCAGTGCGTATTTTGAAACCTCTCGTTGTATTAACATTTCTTTTTCTTCAGTATCTCGGTTATGTGAGTATCTGCTGGTCCTTGAACTTTAGCGAAATTTCATCTTAGCCTCCATTGGAAATAGTGTGTGAATGGAATTCGTATGTTGATAGAAGCAAATAGTAGAAAATTGGATAGTAGTACTTGTGAGCTTATTGGAAGGTATGGTTGAAAATAAAGTCCGACTATGATATATGAATTTTCTAACAGAGGCTTAGTCACTTAAAAATTTAATTTGTTCTGATTGATCTTAAACTTTGTTTCAAGTTTGCTCTGTTCATGTCTGTTAATTTGACTAAGGTGGCCAACTCGAAAAAAAGGTTTAATTTCAGTGACTAGATAGAATAAAATGAATTTTAGTGATTAAAATGAAATTTCGTTAATAAGTTTAGTGAAAAAGTTTTTTATTATTCCTATTTTCCATTGTGCTGAATAATATGTTATTTAAGGAATGGTTACATGACTTGGTAGTGTTCTAAAAATCTTGCCTAGGAGACACCAAAACCCTTTAGGTTCGAAACTCGAGCAAAACGTCTCACTTAACATTTAGACGTTATTATTATTATTATTTTTTCTCTCCAATTTCTAAACTTCATTTCTTTTTTATTCCATATATGCGTTGTATTGGCTTCCTTTCTTTCTTTTTTTTTTAAGACTTTTATTTGACTTTAATATCAAGTTTTTGAAAGACTTTATATATATAAAAGCTAAAATTGACTTTATCTAAACAGTTAAATAAGATTTAAATTTTGGTTTTATCTACATTATGTAATTATGAGGATTTTGAGACTCATTTTATTACAAACTCTAAAAGTATGTATGAAGTTCTTATAAATTTATTAAGTAGGATTTGTTTAATTGAAAATTGTAAACATGAAAAATATTCTAATTTTTGTATTTCGAAAACTTGAAAATTTTCTAATTGACCAATGGTAGGAGTTATTATTATATTTTATGATTTTAGATGTTTAATATGTTTTAATTATTAGATAATTTTTAAAATGATTAAAAATTTAAAATAATATTATAAATGAGAAAACGTTGTTTTACTTCTAAGTCTCGCTTGAACTCGTAAAGCTTAAAACTTTGGCTCCACATGTAATCACGTTGTACGTTTTTTAGAACATTGTTACTTGATAATGGAAAAAGGAAAGTGCGTGTAAACTGACTTGGTAGTTTTCATCCATTGGATATCTAAAAATCCCATATGTACGTTGGCAGCGTTTTGAATGAACTAAAAAAAAAATAGAATAATAATAAATTAATTAAAAAAAATTACTCATAACGCCTACTTGACAATTGACAAGGATGGTACTATTCACTCGATATGGGACTTGACCAGACATTTTGTGATACGAGTTGATGACAATTAAGCAACACTTCTATTAAAGTCAGTATAATTCTGTTAAGGACGTGTTTTATTTTTCATGTGTCAAAGTTTAGTAAGATTTTATAAAAGAAGTTCATATTATGTCTTTTTGCATTATTTATAAACAAATAAACAAAATTTCTATATTGAATTTGCAGAACATATAAATATTTGAAAAAGTAAATTAGATTAATTTCATTAAATGCTAGTGCAAAAAAATATATTATCTGTTTTTGATCTTCTTCTTAATCGTCTTGTAAGTAAAAATTAATTGTTATATGCGTGAATGGAAATCATTTGACGATTACATGGCAGTAAAACACCTATAAATACCTCAAAGACGTATCAAGTAGCAATGGCCTTTTTTTTATCATACTTTCAAATTTTTCTTTTGCGCGTCTTAAAGTTATTATTCTCCACATAAATTCGAACACTGACTCTCATGCTGGAGGTACGACGGGATAGATAGCCCCATTCTCCCTTCACAGGTATTTTGCTGTTCATCAGAGTAGCAGAAGCCAAGAAATAAATTATACTTTATGTTTTATTGAAATTTTGAAACACACACTTTAAGTTGTAACTGATAAAAATTATAGATAACAAGCTTTTTCTATACTTTTAAATGGAAGATATATCCCACAGATAATAAATTACTTTTTGAGAGGGTTGATATGTACACTGATTAAAATTGGTGCTCACTGAACCTTCCATACAGAAATATTATATTAATCTTCTTGAAAATTATTCTCTTTTCCAATCCACCAGATCATTAATCCACTTGAGATCAGTTTCAATTTCATTAATGTTCTTTTCCAAGATATAATTGCCTGACAAAAATTCCATTCTTGAAGAATTTGCTTGTCCCAGATGGACTTGGATTTTGGGTATTTGAAGAATGTTGGAAGAAACTGCTGTTGATTCTCATCAACATTGAAATTCACAGGTCAAATTCATGGTTATTTCCCTTTTTTTGCTGTTGCAGAAGTTTAAGTGACTTTCATGGTGTTGACACATAAAAATTCAGCCCAAATCGAACGGCCCAAGGAATGAAACCCAATTGGAGGATCCCCAAATTAGATAGTCTAAAGAACGAAGCCCAATCAGACAATTTAGGATGAAGGCCCATGAACGCTGTAATACCACCGCCAAGCTTGCAAGTCGCCTAGGATCTGAGCGAATGGAGTGCCATGCAGTCGCCCAGAGCTGCTACTCTATTCTCGTCCAAACTTTCGAGTCGCCCAAGGTCTTAGTAAACATGAAGTGTTATGGTTATCAAGAAGCGCAGTTATCAAAGCAGTTATTAAGCAGCCCTATCACGTTCCACGATTCAAGGAATTCAATTGAAGACAGTTGAACGACAAAGAGTAATGACAGCAGTTAGAAAAGGCAGTTCCATGACAAGTTGGCCATTACGAGGAAAGTGGGCAGTTATAGAACAATCAAGCAATTTTTAGGCGGTTGATCACAAAGAGATCATCCAGAGAGTATAAAAGGAAGAAAAGGCATAGAGCAAAGGACCCCCGAATCAAAAACTCTCGAACAGAGAACATGTAACTTTTAATTTCTTAGTTTAGATTTAAACACTTCTTTCAGTAACTCGTGTGCTTGCGCTCCTTGGAGGCATTCTGTTTTTACTTTTCGATTGTAAAGTCATCGCCAATAAAGAACACCCCTTTTTGGGACTTTGTCTCAAGAGATTTGTCCCTTACACAATCGTTTGATCCCTTTTTAATTGTTAGCGACTAACCCGCGCGAAACAATTTGGCACGCCTAGTGGGACAGTGGTGTTTGGTGTTGAAAATACAAAAGGTGAAATAATATGCCTCAGAGATCCGACAAGGAACCAGCAAGTCAGGGAGGAGTCCAGTCTGTGATCGAGCGATATGAGGAGCAGCATAGCTCTCCACGAACAGATGGACATAATCAGAGCAGTAACAGTCGTTATGAATCAATGGCAGAATTGAGTCCTCGAACTATGCGTGCACTACTTGGAGAACTCACACAAGATGTCGTTGAACAGGTAAATTTTCGAAATATTCATAATATGGAAAGATTTACCCAGAATGGGAATGCACATTATGAAAACATTTCCAAACAACTGAATACTTTGAATGAAATAATGAGTAAGTTAGTAGGCCAAATTTGTCAACTAGTTACGCCTCTTGCAAACCACTTTCAAACTAGGGCAGTTGTGGGACATAATCCCCCAGTCCTAAATCCAAGTCAAGAGGTAGAACCACATTTCGGTCCCTCCACTTCAAACCAAGGGGATGGTGTAATGCTAAATCAGAATAATGGTAGTAGTACGCCTAACTTGGGGGGTAATCCAAATGTAAGAGATAATGTCCTAAATAACGGGCAGAATACCCCACGTGTTAATGAGGGAATAAATGTTCAGGCTAATGGTAACAATGGTCCAAATCATGGTAACTTTATTCCTAATCAAGGACCAAATATCATACCTCAAGCAAATCAACCTGTCAACCAACCTGTTGGGATTCCATATGACCCCAACGTCATGTTGAGGAATCAGATTATGGAAATCGTACAGGACCAGATGGCTTTTGGGGTACGTCCTGTCATTAGGCCGACTTACACAAAGCCATATCCTGATTGGGTAGACCAAGCATATCCATGGCCTAGAGGGTATAAAGTGCCAAAATTCTCACTGTTTACCGGTTTTGGGGAAGTTTCCACTCTAGAACACATAGGACGATTCACATTGCAAAGTGGTGACGTAACTGATTATCACAAGATGAGACTTTTCCCTAATTCATTAACAAGAGTGACTTTCTCCTGGTTCATAAATTTGCCAGCGAATTATGTTCAAACATGGCAACAATTAGAACAATTGTTTCACGCTCAGTTTTATAAGACTGGGTCTGAAGTTACTTTGGCCGATTTGGTGAACCTACGTCAAATGCCAAACGAATGGATAGAAGGTTTTCTCCAAAGGTTCAAGACAGCAAGAAGTAAATGTTTTGTACCTCTACCCGAAAAAGAGTTTGTCAAATCGCTCAAGGTTGTTTGAGCTTTGATTTAAAAAAAAAATTCCAAGACAAGGAATTTCCTGACCTTTTTCAATTAAGTGCAAACGTGATTAGGTATGAACGATTGATAAGAGAAGAAGAGCAGATGAAAAATTCTAGCAATGGGACTTATTATAGAGACCCAAATTTTGATGTTCATACCATCAATGACGAGTCATACGATCAGATCGAAATGTGTTTGGCCGAATTAGTTAAAGGAGACACGTATACTTGTCCCATAATGGCTAAGCCTAGACCATCGAGCAAAGATGAGCCTATAAAAGATGAAAACATAAAAGTTAGAACGTTCTCGTTCGATATAACCAAAGCTGACCTTATATTTGATAAATTATATAAGGATAAGCAGATAAAGCTGAGTGATAAGCATAAATTGCCAGACCCTGAACAGATTAACGGTAAAAAATATTGTAAGTGGCATAATGCATGGTCACATTTGACTAACAATTGCTTGGTTTTTCGCCATGTGTTACAGGATGCCATTGAATCAGGACGAATTACGTTCGATGATAAGAAGAAGATGGCAGTGGATGAAAATCCTTTTCCACAGCCACTTTGAGTGAATATGGTGACGTCTGGTTTCAAAAACAAGTTGCCAAAATTCAAATTGGTTATAGATGATGGAGAAGAAGACCCTAGACCACATCCTAGTGTCTTTGAGCGTATTAAAGGGAAGGAGCCAAAGAACGATGAAGACATCTTGTGTGCAAGATGTAAAAGAGAA